GAAAAATTGTTTTAGTTAGTAAGAAAGTAAATAAATACATTAATTTCCTTTTATATAAAACCCCAGTGGCTTTCCATTCAGGTTTTATTCAGTCGCACTTATTTTTTCAACGACTTTTATATCTACCAAAACTATCGGCGATTTTACTTCAATATTTGTATAATATAACATTTTGATTTTCGTTTTCATTCTTATTCTTTGCTATTATATTTTAATTTTGTGTTATATTTAAATTCAATTTTCATCAATTAAGAACAATCTCATTAGCAAGAGATTTGATAAATATTAAAGACAGAAATTGTTGATGTCAAATATTGTTTGAACGAAACTTAACGATACAACAGAATGTTGACATTGTGTTGATGCGTCTTAAATCGCATCGTGGCGTCATTATGTGCACGCGTATTCGCTTCTATGCGTAATATTCGTGACTATGTGCAAAATTCGACACACTTCACTGTTGCACACAATCTATGCGCGTTTATCCGTACAAATCACATATATGAAAAAGAGTAAAAAGCCCCTAGATATTCAGCAAATGATGCTCTAGTGGCATCTATACGGTAGAGTTTGGAAATTTGATTAAATGATTTCGTCACAAGGTTTACCCAAATATTAAAAATGGTATTTGTCAAAAATAGCATTTCAAACGTCATTCATGATTCATGTTAGTGAAAAATACAAACATACCCAAAAACTTATTCTTATGATACGTTTTCAAATTTAAAGGGGAAATCACTCAAAGGTAAATAATAATAATTGACCGATAATTTTGAAGTCATTTGTTGAGCAGAAATTAATTTTCTGACTACACACTATTTATTTTTAACGAAAAAAAGATTTTTCTTCGAAAAAACGACCGCTAATTATCTTTGAACAATATACACTGACTTAATCATAAATTGATCGTCATTACCGTTTCATTCGGGCGTACTACGATACCTAATAGAAGTGCCGAGCACTTGTGCATATTCAAAGATTGCTCAAATCAAGAATCAGAATTATTTCACAACTAATGTTTCCATTCACTTATTTTATTTTTTCATCAAAAATATGAAATCCGGAAGAATCGATATTCAAGGGAACCCGTTCATTAAAAATATCAATGTACATTGTACAATCAACATATGACTTAAACCAAAGCCGAAATATCATCATAGCCATAAAATCCAACTTTGGCTCCAGCTATACGGCATCCAAAATCGATGGCTTCTTGAAGTGGCTTGCCCTGGGCCAAGGAGTGAATGGTTGAGGCCACAAAAGTGTCGCCGGCTCCCAACGAGTCCACAGGTTTGGCTGGAGGTTTGGCCAGAGCAGCAAAATGTGAGTCACTTTCATTGTCTATCGCTATAGCACCTTCGATCCCCCATGGACAAACCAATTTTGCACTTGAAAAAGAAGGAAAAAAAACAGAGTTATTTAACGTAACAAAAACATAAAAGAACTAGGTGCCTTACTTCCGTAAGGTAATCTTTTCTACACTCCCAAAAATATGATTCTAAATAAAAAATAAAATTATGTAATCTAGTAGTTTATGCATTTCAATATGTATGACTCTCATTTTAAAGAATTTTACAATTTAAACTTTTTGCCCCATGCATTTAATTTAGAAAAGATTCGACTTTTTAACTGGACTTTAATATCATAGCAATTTCAATACTCTGATTCCTATACATTGTGACTCAGCAAAAATTTTACCGTGTACCACGCATCTACACTACGGCCCATAAATAACGCTAGATTTCGTGATTTTGGCGTTCGAAAATCGAAAAAAAAACTGATTTTTGATGGATCAAAAAATCCGGGGTGATTGCAAGACTTTTCTTACCCGACATGGTCGTGTGGAAAAGCAATATACGCTTAATTCTACCATGATTCCGAACATTTTGATTAGAACCGTCGTGATGCATTGTAGATTGAAAAAACGATGTTGAATGAAATCCAAAATTTTGTCAAAAAACAACACACAAAAATCAAAATCATTGATCGACAGAATGAAGAATAAAAGCATACTCTTTTTTAACATATTTCCTCAAGTTGTGAATGGCAACTTCTTTACTCATCCAACCCATGAGTTCGGCAAAGTCTTTGCTCAGGAAAACATAATCCGCATTTTGAACCAATTCGACATTTTGTTCGCTTCGATTTTCCAATTCAACTGAAATGATGATGCGTTGGTCGGGATGTTCGGAGTTCCATTGTAATATAGAGCCAATCATTTTCTCAGTTTCCGCTACATTTCGAGCCTGTTGATTGATTTTTAACAGCAATTAATAGAATTGGAACAAACATTTTTTTTGCACAATAAAAATATAAATTCCCTTTAAATTCAACAGATATTTTCATTTTCATTAAATTCTAATAGGTATGTAAAGAATTTTCTTCACTTTCAGCCTTGTACTTATATCAATAGCTTGGCCCTTCATTTACGAAGCTTCAATTTCCTCTACCAAAATCCAATGAATCTCCATTGTTATTAAATTCTTGATAAGAATTCTTTATAGAATTGGTATTGAGGTACTCACCTCGATTATTTCATTCAAATTCAAATGTACTGACCTCAAAGTGAATCCATCTGTAACGTTCGTATGGAATTTTGCAAAAATCATCGGCCGTAAGTATTGGCATATTCAGATTGGAGTGGATAATTGTGCGACTTCCGCTTGCTTCATTCAAAATAACCGACGAGAATGGTGCCGTCGGTATCGTATGATAAACACAATGATCGATCAATATTCCACGGTCACGACAATCTTCTGTGAGGAACGAGAACGCTTTTGAATTGCTGAGTGATCCAATGAATTCACATTTGGCGCCCAATTGCCGCAGAACCGTACAAATATTTGATGCATTGCCACCGCGCTGCCAACGACCGTTCAATGCCCTGCAATAGAACAATAAAAAACACATGTTTGTATACACATTCAAACACTAACTTAGACACATTGATTAGATTGTGACAATCGAGAATATTTTCTTTGGCTTGGAATCAAACAAATTGTGAATCGTTTGATGAGTCAATGAAAACCAAGCAAACAACCCGTTTGGTAAAAATACACATATTTCATTCAAAAAACCAACCTTCGATCCGAATCTTCTTCGGGATATTCACGACAAACGTGAATTACATCCAAAACACAAAGCCCAACGCACAAAATCAACTTATCATCTCCATTCATTTTGACTTTGCAATTCACACTTGACACGGCTGCTGTCAATAACTTCTCGTTCGACACTGTTGAGTGTGACGATCGTTGCTTACGTACAATCGTACATTCGTACACTGTGATCAAGCGTGTTTAGAAAGAGTGAAAGAGCCAACACTAGGTGACAATGTTGATTAAATAAACGACTGAATGAAGCATTTAAACGCAAATTCACGTCTTAATACAGACATCGAGAGTGAATATGAGTGTGTGTGTGTGTGTGCGTTGAAGCAACCGCTTGATATCGTGGTGGAATAGAATCTTGGGTCTTTAATTTATGAATTTGAAGAAAAAAAATCATTGAGGTGAAATAAGTAATAATTGAACAAATTAATATCCATAGAAATACACTTTCAAATTAACTGATCAAATTTAGTTAATTAAACAAATTCAGTAGGAGAAAATGTTAATAAAAAATTTATGTTCAAAAGAGTGTATTTAATTCATAATGATTAACTTCATTGAAAATCTTCTTCTTTCATAATTATTCATGATTATATTCATTACAAAAATTGTTCTTTAATAATTAGGGAAAAGATTCTGGGAAGGTTGAGCTAACGCTACGCAAATCGTAATCGTAATCGTAATCGCAAACTCAGTTTCAATGGTCTTGCTTTCGTTCTCTATTTATTCATGTGTGCGGCGTGTCAAACGTAAACATTGAAACGATGCGAATGACAGTGAAAAGCGAACAAAAACAGCTGATTAATTCACTCGCTTGTGACACACTCAAACACACGTACTAATCACCACGTCGCTTGAGCGGTTCTTGTTCGGTTTCTTCTTTATCATTATTTTCTTTTTGGTTGTTAAGTTTGGCTCGATTCAAGTTTATGACTTCGTTTCACTCTACTTCAGTTTTTCAAAGTCAATGTTGAATATTTGAATTCATATTTGAACCAATCTTGATAAAACCAAGTCAAATCGACCTTTTAGCTTCAAAATACGTTTAGCTCGATTATTTGTGACCGTTTTATAAATGAAAAGTAATGCAAACACTATGTTTATCACCGGCTGGCAAATCAAACACTTTAAGTGCAACTTTAAATAGAATTTTAGCCTTTTAAACCGCTTGATTTATTGCTGAAACCAACAAAACAGAAGGAAAAATATCAAACGGATATTTATTCTTAAGTTTATTGAACATAGTTTTGCGATTACAGGGCATCACATATCATTTGGAACAAAGTATTTCATTTCGTTTGTAAATAGAAAGAGGAAAGAAAATAAAATGTAAGAAGAAGAGCCCGATTAACAATGTATAAATAATGAAACAGTAAATGCTGAAAGAGTATTTATGATTAAAACAATTACTTCAGAATACGGAACTAGGCTGGAGTTGTACATTGAAGTTGTGTTGGTTTTCAAGTGCGGAAGTAACGATTCATTTTTCAGTAATGCCTTTTGAAAAAGTTAAATATAATATTGAAGTGGTTTTAATGACTGAATGGCTGATTTGATTGAGCGCTGAAACATTTTTTGGACAAGTTTTTAGTGTTTAAGTTCCGAATTATATCTTCGCACTTATACAAAGTGCAAGTCATATGTTTAAATCCATTCAAGCGAATCACACGATCCACGTTAATTTGTTGTTCACATACAGCTAATTTCAACGCTTCTTTAGTAGGCGGTTATTCCGATCATCTTTTTCACATGTAAAATAAACTAGAATTTTGTTAAAAGGTTCATTCACTGATACAGGTTCACTGTGAATACCAGAACTAGTCACAGTACAAATCAAACTTCGATTTTCGTTCTTCAATGAAGAATCTTCATATATATACATAATACACAAATCAAACTAAAGTGCAATTGTTTCCTCCAAATAGTGGCTTTGCCCACTCGTCACAGTGTAGGAGCGGGATTCCCCATCCATATGCCTACGGCATAACACTGAATAAGTTGTTACTTTATGAAAATTACATGACATGTCAATTATTGCAAATAAAACACGTTCTCCTTCTCAGAAAGTAAGAATAGCATCCCCACCAAAATGGTTGTTTGTACTCAACAACAACTGCGTTTTGTCATCGCTACGATAAAAAAAAACGATTCAACCAGTTTATGCTAATGGTCTCACTGTCAGTTTGATTTTGTTCTTTTAAGTAAAATCGTCGTTTTGCGTATTTATTCTTAATCTAGTGCTACAAAATGAGTCTGCAGTTGAATCGCTGGATGATCGCGATGTTAGTGAGTTCACATTCGATTTCTTTTTCAATAGTTTGGGCTTTGCTATTCCTAAATCTGTGCTTTGAATTTGAGTTGGAAATTCCAAAAGTGAGAAAAAGTTAAAATAATTACCCACTTCATGGATAAATTGTTTGAGATGCGAATATAGTGCGTTTTGATAAGAAAAATAATTTTATTGACATTCGGAAAGGTTTGGAATAAAGTTCAGATTTCTTAAGTTAGAGTGAAAACCAAAAGTTCTCAACAAAAAATGGAAAAGCCCCACATTTCAATCAAGAATTCCGTTTCAAATAAGAGAAAAATCAAAGTAATAAATTCTTCTAATTTCTTTCGTTTTTGTGTTTTTTTGCAGTTTCTTCTGGCTATGTGCATTTAATATCCAAATAAATGTGGTGTATTCTTACGAAATAAAATGTAGTAACGGTGCACGCAAGGACAGTTTATCCTGTACTTTCAATTATGTTGCCGATAATAGAACATTGGCAGCGGATATGCCATCTGATTTTCGTCCATTCACAAAATACATCACTCATTTAACGCTTGGCATAGCGAATTTAACCACACTCCCTAACGATACGTTCGGCTTGCTGCCAAACTTAAATTCGTTTTCGGCACGTGTTGACATTCAAAAACTAAGCCAACGTCAATTTAAGAATGCAACAAAATTAATGATCTTAAGTTTTGGCTTCAACAATCGTCTCACCAAGCTGGAGTCGCAGCTCTTCAAACATGCCCCCTCATTGGAGTACATTGACTTTGGTTTCAATCAAATCAACGAAATCGAAGACAAAGCATTTCGAGGCTTAATCAACTTGAAAACACTATTTCTGGAAGCAAATTCAATCACACAAATCAGAAATAAAACATTCACCGGCACAAAAAATTTGCAACGCTTGGATCTTTCAAAGAATCAAATTAATGATATTCAAACCGGTTCATTTGTGCACATGTCAAAATTGAAAACCATACATTTGAATCAAAATCGCATCGGTCGTCTACAAGCCGGCCTTTTCAGTGGGTTTCGAATGATTGAACGCATCGATTTGTCGGTGAATGCAATCAGTGAGGTAGAAGACGGTGTTTTTGAGGGTTTGACCACCTTAAATATTCTGGAGCTGGGTTTCAATCGATTAATGACGCTTCCAGAAGGATTTTTGAATGGTGTTCCCAATTTAGTCTCATTGTTTTTGGCCCAGAATCAAATCGAAGAAATTCATCCGGACTTAGGAAACTTGACAAAACTCACCGTTTTAGACTTGTCATATAATCCCATTCTTCACATGGATCCAGAGGTCCTCTTCGGATTGGACAAATTGGAAAGTCTTGAAACTCGTGGCTGTAATTTAACACAATTGGATCCAGATGTTTTTATAAATCAACAGGCTCTCGAAACACTTGATCTCTCTGAGAATAACATAACCACAGTCGAATGGAATATATTTCTACCATTGGAACGGCTAAAGTTCTTGAAACTCGAAGCAAATCATATAGCCGAAATAGAAAATTACACCAACATTAAGGCATTTTTGCCAAATTTAGAGTTCATCAACCTGTCAAGGAATGAAATCGATTGTGACACTGTCGCCGAAATGATCGACTACTTCAAAAACAATACAATCGAATATGAATGGGGAGAAGAAGTCGATGTTGGATGCCAACTTTTGCCATTAAGAAGTCGAGCGATTCAAGCGTATCAACTTTCAAATGCCAAATTCAACGCAGAAGCCCTTAGACTAATAAATTTGTTCAAATAAAATAGATTTTCAAAACGAATGAGTTTCTTATTTCATCATAATTTGAGTAGGATTTCTTCTTTTTCAAGTGAATTTAAATTTGGAGGTGAAAAGAGGTAAGAATAAAAATTGGGAGATTCCAAAAAAGTGACGAATGTCAATTTCAGTCCGAATGAATCAAATCCAAAAATAAACCGGACGTTGACAATTAAGGCCACTGGATGAAGTGCAATCGTTCACTTGAAATTTGAAAGATCAAATTGAATGTGAGATAGAACTGGACTTTGAAAAATTCGTCCAGTGATTTTTCTTTCAACGACTGAAAAACCGCTTCAAAGCCTTAACCTATTTAAAACCCGCTATAAAGAACTTTATGAAATCATACTTACAATCAAAATTGAATCATCCCATTTCGAATACCATAAAGGTTACTTCTCAGAAACATAAAGAAATTCACCTTCGTTGTACTTTATACAATTTTTGCTCAAGTTCATCGACAAGAGTTCGTTGTGCCAAAATTATTTTCTCTGAATAAATCGCAGTGTATTTTTTTTAAATCTTAGAAAAAACGTTGGAATGTGTGTGAGTTCGACCCAAAATTCTGCTTGTAATGATTGATTTGCACATCATTCCATTTGATGGTGCATAAATATTCAAGTTTTGGGTGCGTATCATGGTGTGCAGATATTGGAGCCAGTTTATCTGCCCATTCAACTGGTTTTTTTTAATTCGTATTCAGCTGAAGAGTTCAAACGTTATGTGCTAAACAATGAATTATCGCTTAAACGTAGCCAAAAAATCCGTTAATCATAAAACAAGTCACAAAACGGCCTAGGGGGAACCGCGAATGTTTTATCTGCAAAATTCGTTTCTATCATTCAATTTTAATATCATCTGTATATAAACTCAATAATTTGACAAAATCTGTATTGAATCATATCCACTATAAATGACACTTCTGACATTACCACAATGTGAATTTTCTGACAGCTAAACTGACGGAAATACCGAATCGTTGTAATAACAACGCACAATTGAATGTTATAACTTGCAATGATTTTTTCCTGGAGAAAGTTTAAACAATTTCACAATTGTAAATTTCCAAAAATAATCAGAAAATAGTAGTCACACATACTTGTATTTGCCACTAAATTGAAATGTAAAGATGCAAGCTCAAATGGCTGTCAAATGAACTCTCAAAAAAAATCGGAAATATCTGCCAAAACTATGATAAATCTGAACATATCTAATGATATCTGCTGAATTTGAAACAAATATTAAAATCTAGTATTATTTTTAATTTTCTAATTCGCGATCAGCCCCTAGAAAACGACATTTTTTGCGGCAGACAGTTTTTTATGCAAAGTCAATATCTTGTTTTTTTCTTAATATATTGTCCACGCCAACATCAGAGAGACCACACACTTCGAATTAGTGAAGTTAGAGAAAATTAGCATCCACATACGCGTTATAAATAAAGGACCATCAAAATATCACCAAAGTTTATTGAAATAAATACTACAATAGTAATACTACTTCCTATGAAATGCGTTAAAATATTAGGATTTTCTAGAAAATAATACGAGAAAAATAAAGTCTATGCGATCGTCAAAATTTGGAGATAATTGAACTGTTAGAGATGATTTTTAAGGAATAAAAAGTTGTATGCAGCTAGTGTAGGTACATCTAAAATCGGTCCATACAAATAGATAGATTTTTGATTTTCGTCAATTTTCTCGTAATCGTGAAGACAAAAGCTAGTTTTGGCTGGGTTTAGTTGTGACTAAAATCGATTAATAAGGTCTTTCTTGAGAAATTGGCCAACTGAATCAATCACAATTGTGTTAATTTGATCGCTAAAATTGAGAAGGTCAAATGCCGCTGACAACCAAAAATCTTTCCAATTTGCATATTGTGACAAAGACATTGAATTTAGAAATTAAATAGAAAATTTTCGAAGAAAGGTCACTACACTTAGTTCAAATTCAAAAAAGGTGGTCGTTAGGGTGGATCGATTTTTAAAATCGTACAAAATCAAAAACGGCGGATGGCACCTCAAAAAAAGAAACTTTTGTTCTGGGACATATGCCGAAAAGTTGGTTCCCACAATCCCCACTTAGTGTTGGCCGTCGAACACTTTCGAACGCTTGTTCGTTCGTTCGACAATTTAAAAAAAATATTTTTTGTTCGTTCGTTCGTTCGACAATTTGAAAAAATATTTTTTTGTTCGTTCGTTCGTTCGACATTCATTTTGTTCGATGTTCGGTCCGAACAAAAAAATTTTACATTAGAAAATTCGATGTATTGATCAAATTTATAATGTAATCGTTACAGCTCATGCTTTTATTATAATTTTTCGTAGTAATACCAATTTTATTCGGGAGATTTTGAAATAAAAAAAACTTTGTTCGGACCGAACATCGAATAAAATGAATGTCGAACGAACGAACGAACAAAAAATATTTTTTTAAATTGTCGAACGAACGAACGAACGTTCGAAGCTATCACTATCCCCACTCAATTTTTGTCTGGTTCATTTTTTGATGATTTTTTTAGACTATTATTGAAATATCTCAAAAAATACCCACTTTCCTTGCTTGCAAACTATGATAATTGGATTTGTCGCAAAAAATTACATAAAAATAAGTTGATTTGAAACCATTCTTACGCGATTTTGTCGCCTTCGTAGGTCAAAATTCGACCAAGTACCCATTTTGACTACTTTTCCTCAAAAACTCACCTCAGGACCCTCGAAAAATCTCAACTGGCCGTTGCTTTTGAATCTTGTTCATTTGAACCAATACTTTGCAACAAGTGAAATTGATCTTGTTTATTAGTCATGCCAATTTATTTGAATTGATTTTGTTTCATGTACGACAGATGTGTATAAATATGATTATTTGTTAAACAATTTTTATTATAAAAACAATTTTTTTCCACAAGATGCCATATGTTTGTGCAACAAATATTTTGTTCATCAAATAACACGTGTGATAAAACGTGCAGAGATTAGTATGTTTTTGAACAGAAGGGCTAAGTCAGTTTAAAACTTCATAGACGGACTAAAGAGGATATTTTTGTGAATTTCTGATGTGTTTTAAACTTAGTTAACTCAAAATGGATTGAAAAGTCGTTATCTTCAATTTTTTTGCATATCGAAAACTTTTTCCGTGTGACTTATAACATTTCAGTTGTTTTTGAGTGTTTGTAGTGAAGGCAAACTTGCCGAAAACAGCTATCATTCTCAGGTAAATATTGCGATATTTGTGAATACTTGTGAGTACCTGTTGATGTGTTAGCTGAAATGAAAAAGATTGTCAATTTAATAAGATATTTCTTTGCATATATACAACTTTATCTACAATTAATTGGACCCATTCTTGATTCGAAAATTTTTTAGCGTTCAATATAGTGAATTGAAACTATTGCGAACGTCAATATTTCAACATGTATATCTATTTTGTTAAATATGAGGCACATCAATTTTTATTTTAGAAGCACCACACAAGATGGCCAAAACACACATATGACAACATCTTGGGTTTTGATAATGTAAATTTTCGAAATTTTTCAAACATTTCCAACCGAATCATTTTCTTCTCCTCAATTTTAATAATAATTTCGCTTTCATACATAAAAAAGGTTCAAACTCCGATCGCAATTTTGTCACGCAATACCGTGTTTTTGAGTAAAGTCAAGCCTTTACAATACAGTTGGTATTGGGCACAAAATAGATTAGCCTGGATTGAGAACGATGGACACACGGCAAAGGTTACCTTTGAAAATCGTCAAGTGCAACCCCACTTAACTGGTGATCTTCTAGACGGTCGCTACATTTTTGAAAATTTGTTGTAGGTATTCAATTGAATTGAATTGAATTGAATTTTATTTCACCGCCAAAAAACTGGCTGAATATGATTTAAATTTTTACAATAAAAATACATCAGTTGTTTGTATTTACATTTTCTCTTTGGGTTGACAAGAATTTTTCAATATTCGACTTAAATGAGTCTCTAGTTCCAGCAGTATTTACAAGTGTTATGAAATTGTTTATGCAACGAATCATACGAGCAATCGGTTGTTGACGTAAATAATCGGTATCAAATAGAGGTTCACTAAGTGTTCTGTTATTTCTTAATGTACGACGTTGTTCAAGCCTCACAAATTTCGAACTAATAAATTCGTCATTGATATTACATTTATATACATCATAAGCAATAACTGCATCAGCAATTTCTCTTCTTAAGTCTAATGGTTGCATTTTAAGTTGCTTACACCTATCAAAGTATGGAGTTAGTCTAAATGAAGTAGCATTTCTTCTATTTTCTAGCAAATAAATAACAAATTGCTTCTGTATCGATTCGATATCTCCAATATAAATATCCTGATATGGGCTCCATATAACTGAAGCAAATTCTAAAATAGGCCTAACATGAGCCAAATACAATATTTTTTGTGTGTCATATGTAAAGTTTCCGTTTGAAAAATGCTTGATACAGCCAATCATGCGTCTCGCTTGTATGGTTTTCTGTTCGATGTGATGGCCGAAGTGTAGCTGCTTATCGATCAGAACGCCGAGATCGCGAATCTCTTCCTTCCTCTCAATTAAGTAATCTCCCATAGTGTAGTTAACGACGATCGTACAGCGATAATTTGTGACTACGAAATCGGTTAACTTTTCAATTCTATGGGCGCTGCCATGTTGAAAATTTACGTGCGATATGGTGTACGCACTCAATAGTTCCACTTATTTCAATAAGGAATCTCTATAGGTGGCGCTGCCACATCGTCATTGACATCGAGTCAAATATTGTCAAATATAATAACATTGTTTATATAGGCTTTTATCGCAGTACGACGACGATAGATGATTTTTTCCGACATAACGTAAGCATTGCACATTTTTGATTGTTGAAGAACAGTCGATTATTATTGCACCAGTCGATGAGTTTATCGATGTCATTTTGAAGGTAATTCGAGTTGTTATTTGCGGTTGTGCCACGAATTTCCATTGCAATCTTGATATCGTCTGCTAATAGCAGCACCGTAGATTTTTCAACACTAACAACTATGTCGTTTATGAACATGGTGAACAAAATTGGGCCAAGCACACTTCCAGCAGGCACACCAGAAGGCGACGAGTATGATCTGGATTTGGATTGGCCAATCTTAACAAAATTGAATCGATCGATGACAAAGTCACATAGCCATTTGGCAGTTTTACGTCCAATTTTGAAGTGAGCAATTTTTTCGATGAGTTTACGATGCCAGACTCGGTCGAACGCAGTTTTGAAATCTCCGTAAAAAACATCAAGCTGCATTTTCTTGCGAAATGACTCGTGTGCCAATATCGACAGGTTCAGTAGATTCGTAGTGACAGAACGCTTAGTTCTGAATCCATGTTGTGAATTAGATAATTGTGGGTCGATGATGGCGCTTAGCTGGTGTTTAATTGCTATTTCGAAGATTTTCAATATGACTGAACTGATTGCTATGACCCGATAGTTTGTAACATCATCTTTGTCGCCTTTTTTGAAGACAGGCACAACTCGTGACAGTTTGAGCAAGTACGGTATAGTACCATCATCAAATGTTTTCTGGAACAAAAGCCAAATCGGCCATACAATGGCGTCAACACATTGTTTTATGACGAACGGTGATATATCATCAGGTCCAGCTCCACTATGCCATTTTAACGAGTTAATGGCTAGTTCGATGCTTTCCAATGACACGTTGATTTCATTTGCATCATCACTCTCACGAAAAATGTCGTCGAAATTCCACGATTGATCATCAGCTACGTAAATTGACTCGAAGTAGTTTGCGAACAACTGGACAATGTCGTCTGGTGAATCAGCGGTGACATTATTGTGGTGCATCTGATTTGGATAAGTTGCTTGTTTGTTGCCAATTTTCGCAAACTTCCAAAACGCTGCTGGATTCGATTTGATGTTGTTTTGAATGCCCATGATGTACTCATTGTGTACCGTGTTTTTGAGAAAAGTCAAGCCTTTACAATACAGTTGGTATTGGGCACAAAATAGATTAGCCTGGATTGAGAACGATGGACACACGGCAAAGGTTACCTTTGAAAATCGTCAAGTGCAACCCCACTTAACTGGTGATCTTCTAGACGGTCGCTACATTTTTGAAAATTTGTTGTAGGTATTCAATGGAAGCGCATTTGGTGCAATACAATTCGAAATATGGCAATTTCGCAGAGGCACTCAATTACAAGGATGGTTTCTTTGTCGTTACATTCTTCATTCAAGCCAAACAAAACGCGTACAATATTCCATTCTCGAAAATTTCCGGCGAAATTCCATATATAATCAGCCCAGATACAGAATCATCCATTGTTGGATTTGAAGGATAGCATTTTAGCAACTGTCTTATTGATACACTTCTGCATTTATAATGCTCGTTTTTTTGTCGAATTTTGTAAACAAAATTTTTTTAAAAAATTCAGACAATTTCGCTGATGAACACATATCCATTCCAGATTTGTTGCTTTGGATGTCGAAACAAGAGTTGGATAGCAATTATTTGACGTACAAAGGATCATTGACAACGGAAACCTTTGATGAGGTTGTCACATGGATCATATATGAAAAACCAGTGATTGTGTTAAAGCACCAGGTTTGTGAATTAGAAAGAAAACAAATGTTATTGCTCATGTGCATTCTCAAAGGTTACTGTATTCCGTGAAATGATCGATGCGGAGAATAAAAAGATCACCAACAATTACCGTCCCATTCACACGCCCGAAAAACCACCAAAAGTCATTTTTGTAGGCAAAAAGAATAAACATCAACACGCCAGTGTGTTATAAGCATACACAGCATGCATACATAGGTTAGCATAATATCTGGGGGCACCTGACCATTTGCAAATATTTCATATTTGCATTAGAACTGCGTAAAAATAGAAAAAAATATTTTTGCCAACATTTGCCTACATTTGTACGATTTTTCTAATCGGTCTCTCTTGCTACCACTGCTATCAAGAATGTATATCAAAGTTGGTTTTTAGATTCATGGTTCATGTATTTTTTATCAGATGAAAAACCTCTAGACGAGGTTAAAATGGAGTGACGCTCCTGTGCGTGGATTTACCACTCAAAATGACTGATATCATTTTGAGTGACGCTAGGACGCTGTATTACTGGGAACGAAGTTCAAAAGGGTTTTTCGCATTCACTATTGTGAAAATTTACTCACAATAAGGAAAAATATCGCGTCACGACTTTTGGACGGCAAAACGCTTTAAAGCTTGACTTGAAGACTAAATTCAAAAGTCGTGACGCGATATTTTTCCTTATTGTAAATAAATTTTCACAATAGTGAATGCGAAAAACTTTTGAACTTCGTACCGAGAGATAATACAGCGTCAAAGCGTCACTCAAAATGATATCAGTCATTTTGAGTGGTAAATCCACGCACAGGAGCGTCACTCTATTTTAACCTCGTCTAGAGGTTTTTCATCTGATATCACTACTTTTGTAAGGCTTTTTTTGGAAAAATACATTTTTACCAGAAGTATGTCTATTATAAAATGCGGTAAAATATGATTAAATTTCAAAATAACCATAAAAATAGTGTTCAAGCGATTGTGGATTCTCATTATTTCATTAAAAAATATTAGTTCCCAACCACCAAAGCTCTGGAAAGTGCATTTTTATGTATCCCTTGAGCAAAAGTTCAATTTCATACATTCAGATGCCAAAATGCCGATTTATGACCAAAATGACAACGAAATGGATATTCAAGTGTTCGTGGACTCCCATTATTTTCACGAAAAAATAGCAGTTTTCCAAGACCAAAACGACGTCAGAGGTCTATTTCACGTGTTTTCCGAACAAAAATGTCATTTTCAGTGAAAATAGAGCAAGTTGAAAAATTCACTTCAATCCGACCTATTTTTCGACCATGAAATGCCCTCAGATCGCATTGTGACCACTTTTAATCGATTGCTCGTCAAAAATTGAGCGGATATGGTCTTTCGTGAGCCTTTCCAGCCAGTCAATGCGTGTTTTCGACAGCAATTTCATCGTAGAATGCGACTCTACGTACAAATTCCGTTTATTGATGAATTGCCCATGTCCAGAACTTCGAAATACGAATTTTCCCGGATATGTGGCATATGCCATTTTGTTGGTATAGTAGCCGGCTACAAACGCTCAGTTTTTGGTAAAACATTGTAGGGCTGATTTTTGAGAAATCGCGTTTGGTGTGAAATTAAAGAGGGTCGATTTTTCATAAAAATCTACTTTTTCCTTTTATATCACATAAACATTGGCATGTGTGTATGGAACTTTTTGAAGGTCTTCTCAAATGATACCGAGCTGACTTTGCCCGATGGGCGTCTGACTTGATCTAGTGAAGCCATAGCCAGCTCTCCTGTAATGCAAATGTCAATCTGAGGACGGGTTTCGATGTGGTCCGACACCAGCTACAGCTTAGGCATATCGACACCAAAATCTGTGGGGGTCAAAAAAATTCGTGGACAAACGGGGACACGCACATCCAAATCAATACTTTCATAGAAAACCATGGTTAAACTGCCAATGCGCATAACTTTTTCGTTTTTGGACCAATCGGAGCGCTTGGACCGGCGTTGGAAAGGTGGCGAGGAGGAGCTTCTCTTGGACACCTCAGACCACCCCCTGGGTACCCCCTTTGTAAGATATGGGTATAGATTTGAAAATTTATCGAAATTTTCCAACCGCTATATTTTTGCCCAGACCACACTTTAGGCATGAGGGATATGGTGTTTCCGACTATTTGGGCCAAGACCTTTCCAACGGTACCTAACATGCCGGGGCCCAAATGGTGCCCTGAGAAAATAGCATACTTACTGTATATATACTCGTGACGCAAAAACTGGCATTTTTGATATTTGGCTTGAAATGCACAGTCTATGGAGCGTCACTTGTCGGACTATCGTCCTCCGTGATATCAAATTGTATTAATTACAACAATAAATAAACTTTGCAACACTTCACATTGATTTAATCTTCTTCTCATTCTTTTTTGCGACGTTGGACGTTACTTGTACATCTGAACACTGGATGCCCACAGTGCTTTTCGAATGGGGATGTTAGTTTTTTCTTTAAAATGCAAATATTTCAGTGTTTATCGATGAACTTCCATACATTTTGAGCGGTTTTTCATGAAAATTTCAAAATGCTGATGATTTGCAATGAATAAAAAGCTATATGCAGCTACTGTCCATCTAAAATCGGCAGCCGCACATTTTCTAAGCTGACAAAATGTGCATAAAACTACCATTGCAATGAGATAAATGATATTTAACCTTCTGACTGTGTTTGGGTAAATAGAACATGGACTGTGTTACAGAAAATACAGAGAAAAAAATCATATGCAGTAATAATCATATTGATTAGAAAACACATGTGACATTTTTGTCACCAAACACAGTCAAATGGGTAAAACGGTGCGGAATTTAATTTTATATGAAAAATAGAATTTTTTTCAAGAAATTTTTTGTTTTATATAATAGATTTAATGGTCGGAAGAGCATCCCTAAAGTTTCAGATAAAAAATTTCATGAAAAGTTTTTTTTCACTTTTTATAATGAAAGTGATAAAAATGTCACCAAACACAGTCAGAAGGTTAATTGGCAGATATACGATTTCCATCCAAATGGATAATTTGTTTTATTTTTGTCAATTTTTTCAAGAAGACAAAAGCTAGTTTTGGCTGGGCTTATTTGTGACTAAAATCAATTACTGGGTGCTTTGTTGAGAAATTGGCTATATCTAACTAAATCAACCCATCAAAATTGTGTTCATTTGATCGTTAAAAAAGAGAAGTTCAATTGCCGCTCACACCCCAAATATAAAATCTTACCAATTTGCATATTGTCACAAGTACATTCCGTATAATTCTCTGTCTCCGGAATCGCCGTTACGGTGTGACTCCAGTACCACAAAAGAAACTAACAGTCAAATTCTGCTGAGTATGTTTATAATGTGCAAAAACGTAAAATAAATTCCAAATTATTTTACTGGAAAACTTGGAGTGTTTACTAAACATGTTCTATCCCTTTTTTATGGGAACATCCAAAAAACGTGGTCGTTGCTTTTGAATATTGTTCAAATATTTTGTTTATCAAATAACACGTGTGTCAATTGTTTAAATTGTGGTAAAACGTGCAGAGATTAGTATCTGTTTGAACAGCAGGGCTAACTGAGTTTAAAACTTCATGAACTCGGACTAGAGAGGATACTTTTGTGAATTGCTGAAGTGATTTAAACTTGGTTGACTCAAAATGGATTGGAAAGTCGTTATCTTGGTTTTCAACTTTTTTTGAACAATCATCACACAAGCATCAATGTTTAAGATGAAAACAGGCATCATTCTCAGGTAAATCGTGCCATATTTATGCATATCGAATCAATCGAATAAACATCTTGAACAAAAGAGAATCTTTCTGAATACTTCTAGTTAAGGTTTGTTAGCGTGAACATGCAATTTTTTGAAGTGAAATTCATCATTCGAATTTCAAAAGAAACCAAGAAGCATAACTTAGGGCGTAAAAATAAAAAAGAAAGCACATATTCATTTATTATCCGAAATTTTCTGATTTTGGAGACATTTTTTCGAACGTTTATATCTTTGGAAAAGTCCATCAAAATTACATTATTCAATATATATATGAAATGAAAGCTGAAACATAATGGATTGAGGCTTTTCTTCTAATTCCGTAGAAAAATTAAAAAAGAACGAAAAGTTCGAAGGGAATCGAAAAATGTGTGTCCCATGCATCTTAACCCTCTAATGCATTAATTTTTCCCAGGGCGTACTGGTACTTGGTTGATTTTTGGCCATAGATAATTAAAAAAATATTCATAATCCTGGATTCCTCATGGTTTAGTCAGAAAATGCGATTGACATAAATCATAGAACAATCAAATCCGTTGTTTAAAAGTGTCAAGAATGTGTCTAATTTGGAGTTCGAATAATTTATTTTGTCAAATTTTTGTTCTTGCACATATTTTTGTTTATAACTTTACAATCACACTACATAGACAAATATTGCCAGAGACAAAAATAAAGAGAGAACATTGACGAATAAAAATTTTCTCTAAAGCAATGTGATCCGATGTACGGTTAACGTTCTACAGGCGTTCAAAGTTGCCCGTCTAGAGACGGTTGTATGCATTAGAGGGTTAACTCTGAAATTTAATCTTAAATGAATCCATTTCTATGATTTTCAAATGAATTTGTTTGTTTTTTCTAAATGAAAATTATTATAAGTCAAACTATAGAAGAATAGAAGCATCTTGGTTATCAAGAATTGTATATCTGTTGATGTGTTAGCTGAAATGAAATAGATTGTCAATGTTATAAGATACTTCTTTGCATATACAACTTTGTATTTAGATTTTAGAACTTGAATTTCTTGCGTGAAATTTGTATTTATATATCATCAGACTGATTTCTGTGGTGGCTTTCTGGTATTTTGCTAATTGGTGAATACCTCCCTGGAAAACAGAATCAAGGTATTTTCACACCTCTGATTTCGCAGTGGAAAGTCATTTCTTGATTTGTTGTCCGAATTTTCAAAAATGTTCGGTTTTACTTGTGTATTTTTCATTCATTTCTGATACTAGATTGCAAGATGCTTGGTCTCTGAGCTTTGCAAATAACGCATAAAAATTGGCAAAAAATGTAAAACTGACGTGTTGTCAGTATTCGTACGTTGTATCTCTATCGTGATATTCGTAAATATCCGTAAATCCGGTGTAGATTTGTGATTTGTGAATCGACCGCAATTGTTTGCTTTTGGCCGCGCACAGCGTAAAATGGAATTTTTCACGACTCGTTCGAATGAACGAATGAGGGTAGAAAGAGCCGATAAAACTGATTTAAACTAGATATAAAATGAACTCGATTGAACGGATCTGAAACACTGGTATCTAGGGATTTTATACCATAGAACATAGCGATACGTACAATGGCAAGCAAATAATAAAATGTGGAGCATTTCTGTTGGCGCTTCGATTCTGCAAGAATAAAACAATTTAAATCCCAGCATTGTATGTGAATAAATCTGGCTTTATCATAACCGGTCAAGGATGTTCGAGTACGTGTCGGCAAATGTTTACCCACAATTTCTACAAATAAACCCCATAATCGTAAACTACCGAAATTTATTGGCAATATTCAAGTACAAATATTCAATTGACACCTTAAACATCTCTTGACCCCTTTATTTAAACAAGAAATTAAGCGTTGTTTAATTAATTTGTTTGGTTTTGTTTTTACAACACAATTCACGCAAGATTTGCACAAACGCAAATGGATTGGAACATTTGCACGTGTGATTACTGCCTTCAATTTTTCTTATTTGGATAGATAATCTACAAAAAACCGAATTGGTCCATTCATGTGCTTATTCATCGTTTCCATTTATTCTGGAGCGCAGTTCACGTGTACGGAGGTAATTGTTAATCAAACATTTTTTTTCGCAGATGCCAGATGCTTAATTATTTATTTGGCAAACAACATGCGTGTAAATGTGTTTAATTTGTCATATGGCAATACAGAGATTGATGTCTTTTCGAACGCCCAAGCCTATCATCACTGCTATATAGAGTCGAACAGGTGAGCATTTTTCTGTAGCCAATGAAGTGATTTGGACTTGAATAAATCGAAATCAAAATGAAGCTAAACATCGTAATTTTAGGTAATTTTTCGCAAACTAAAATCCAAATAAATTAAGATCAATTCATGTCAATTACATCAAATTATTTCTATACATAAGGGATTTTTGCCGTGATCGCAGTGGAGGCAGTCTCGCTCGAAGAAAGTGGCTTACTTGAAAAGTTAGAAAAGATAAAAAATTTGAAGTATCCGGATTTATCGGTATGTCCGTCTATTAAAAAATCTTCTTTGATAAAAAAAATTTCGACGACGACATTGAATCAAATATTTGTCAATTCATTCTTTCTGTGCCAATTGTGGCCAATAATTATTAAAATTTAATTTTGACTTTACATAAAAAATGATTCAAGAAATCTTAAAAGCTAAAGAAAATAATCAACTTTTCATTTCTCTCCAGAAATCCGAAAGTGAACCAATGATCCAGAAAAAAATTGGAGTAAAATCATTCGAACCGAAACAAACGCGTGAAATTAAACGACAAAGTCAATCTGAACATCATAACATAAAAAACACACTTGATCACGATGAAGAAAGTCATGACGAAGGGCTTGCGACGAACAAATATATATGAAATATCTTCAAATATATTCAAATATGCCAAATATTTCAAATATTGAAGCATTATTGGTTCACAAAATGCATCTTAATATTTCGTATATTTGACATATTTGGCTATATTTCAAATATTTCATATATTTGAAACTTGAGAGGAATATTTCATATAGATATAGTCAAAATAATATCGGGTAATAACAAAAAACGTCAAAATGTAGCTGAAATATGCCTTAAATACTATACTACTACAGTATATCAAATATTCCAAATATTTGGAATATGACGGAATATGTCTGAAATATAGAAATATATGAAAATATTGCCGTATTTCAGGCTTCGCAAGCCCTTCGAGTCATGAGGTGAATGCAGTACCCATTTGATTCACGTTTTAATGCCTACAGTCATTAGTCATTCCAGTAACTGGCTAAAAGAGCATTCAATATAATGAATTGAAACTATTAAGCGAATGTCAATATTTCCACATTTTCTATATCTATTTTGTTAAATATCAATATATTTATAATATCTCATTTCATTTTAGAAGGAGCACGAAAATTGGCCAATAGACAAATATGACAAATACGACAACATCTTGGGCGATGATCATGTAAATTTTCAAAATTATTTCAACTATTTTCAATCGAATCATTTTCTTTTTCTCAATTTTAACAATTCTTTCGTTTTCATACTTGAAAAAGGTTCACACTCCGATCGCAATTGAGTCTCGCAATGCCCAGAATTTGAATAAAGTCAAGCCTTTACAATATAGTGGACATTGGGCACAGGATGGACAAGGCTGGATTGAAAACGATGGACACACGGCAAAGGTTACTTTTGAAAATCGTCGAATGCAACCGCACTTAACTGGTGGTCTTCTAGACGGTCGCTACATTTTTGAACAAATGCATTTCCACTGGGGTGAAAATGACAATGTTGGCGCTGAACATACCATCGACGGAAAATCGTGAGCAAATGAGATGGAATTCTTTTTCTTCACTTTCTAAATGTCCTCGC